TTTTTATTATTCATTAATATGTACCCCATCTATTGATTTCCAGAGAATAATTGAGAAAATTTATAAGAATTAAATTTATATTGTAGGAAATTAACTGGATAAAATCGTTGTGGCTTTGTCAACAATGTACTTACAAAGGAACTAATTAACTTGCCTGAGGCCCAGTGCTTTTATGGCTTTTGTTAGTGAGGACATGAGCAGTTCTAATTTGGAGACCGGATATACAGTTCTGTTAATGGGAAGAGAAAGTGTTACATAAAAGCTCCTAAATGAGGTAACAGAAACAAGGCAAGTCATTATGACTCATACATAACATTTAGAAAATTACATTACATAAACGATGTAGTGTCTGCTATTCATTTATTATATTAAAATTCTTTTCATTAATTTTGTGTTTGCTCAGATCAGATATGTCAAGAAACACCTCGTATGACACCGTATTTTACTCGGTAAGGCACACTTGCAGTGTTAAATTTAAAACCTGATTAATAAATTAATAATTTCTTCAAGCGAGTCACTTTAATAAGGTGATGTTAATGCGCAAGACACTAGTTAACATTTTTTTAACAATGTAGGCCAAGTTTTCATGTTTCCTGTCTCTGACTTAGTGGATCCTTTAAGTCCATAAACTTTATATATATATATATATATATATATATATATATCTATATATATATATAGATATATATATATATATATATATATCTATATATATATATAGATATATATATATATTCTCTCCTATACACCTATAGGAGAGAATATATGTTTGCTTGTCTGTCAAAGTTGGACAAAGTTTCCTCTGTCACCCAAGTTGACAGAGGAAATGGTCTGGGGTAATGGTCTGGGGTAATGGTCTGGGATATTGGTCTGGGGTAATGGTCTAGGGTATTGGTCTGGAGTAATGGTCTGGGGTAATGGTCTGGGGTATTGGTCTGGGGTAATGGTCTGGAGTAATGGTCTGAGGTATTGGTCTGGAGTAATGGTCTGGGGTAATGGTCTGGGGTATTGGTCTGGGGTAATGGTCTGGGGTATTGGTCTGGGGTAATGGTCTGGGGTAATGGTCTGGGGTAATGGTCTGGAGTAATGGTCTGGGGTAATGGTCTGGAGTAATGGTCTGGGGTAATTGTCTGGGGTATTGGTCTGGGGTAATGGTCTGGGGTAATTGTCTGGGGTATTGGTCTGGGGTAATTGTCTGGGGTATTGGTCTGGGGTAATGGTCTGGAGTAATGGTCTGGGGTAATTGTCTGGGGTAATGGTCTGGAGTAATGGTCTGGGGTAATTGTCTGGGGTATTGGTCTGGGGTAATTGTCTGGGGTATTGGTCTGGGGTAATGGTCTGGGGTATTGGTCTAGGGTAATGGTCTGGGGTAATTGTCTGGGGTATTGGTCTGTTGTAATGGTCTGGGGTATTGGTCTGGGGTAATTGTCTGGGGTATTGGTCTGGGGTAATGGTCTGGGGTAATGGTCTGGGGTAATGGTCAGGGGTAATGGTCTGGGGTAATGGATGAAATAGGCAGGTCGGGGTCTCCTACCCGTTCTCGCAAATTCGTAAAGTCTTATTAAATAAGTGCATAGGTGACATACTAAACATAATAGATACCCTTAAAAAGCTTCATAGAAAACACCGACCTTACCTAACCTTGTTAGTATCTTAAGATAAGCATCTTATAGCTTCGTAATTACAATTGTTACTTAACCTATTATAGGTATAGGTTAAGTAATATGTAATTACGAAGCAATAAGATGCTTATCTTAACATACTAACAAGGTTAGGTAAGGTCGGTGTTTTCTATGAAGCTTTTTAAGGGTATCTATTATGTTTAGTATATCACCTATGCACGTAGTTAATAAGTCAATATTGACTATACGAATTTGCGAGAACGGGTTGCCAATGTCACATTTACACCCCCACGACGCTTTTTGGCACTACCCGGCATTTTCTATTTTGATTACATTTGTATAGAAATATTCACCATTATTTCCATCACCGTCCACGGGATGGGTATGAGGTGCATAATAAAGAACGAATCAAATCATATTCATCAATCTCGGGAAAATTAATAGAAACTTTCTGCTATATAAACTAAGGCCATAATCCCATAAATTGCTTAAACTATTTTCTGAAATTAACTTTCCTTTCCCATAGAAAACCCAAGGCCAATTCTCTAGTTCTTAATAGGTGATACTATTACTTTCTGTGTGAAAGTTTTTTAATATTATGAAGACAGAGTTACATTCTTACTCTTATTTCGAAAATATCTTGTGTCTCAGGTTGTTTCCAATGTCACGTAATTTACTACTGCAATATTTATTGGAACCGAAATTTAGTACAAGTGGTTGTAAGTTACTTAATATTCATATATGATTAACTGCACTACAAATTTTTCAAACTTATTACAACAATTCATAGAAAATCGAGGATGCAGCAAAAATATTATTTCTTGATCGCAGAAATTATTCAACTTCTTTCTGGAAAATCAGTTACAACACAACAAAACTTTTTAGTGTTGAGGTATTATTACTCATAGGGAGTGACTTACGATATCAAACCTTAAAGATTATTATTGAAATTAAAACAAAATCTTGAATGATTCTAAAAATTAAATAAGGCAAGTGGAGACAAATCAATAGCTGTTATGAGTGCTCCGCAAGCAAAAGGTGTATTATAGGTTAGTCACCTTGCATGGAGCCGACTAGCTGGAGATATAAATGTTATGGGTCTGGTAATGGTCCATCCGATACTGGTGCGCGACACAGATATCACCGTGCCAGTGGATGGCTGGCACTGATGCTGCCAGTTGGCAATATTTTACCCATTGTGGTGTCGGTATTTCAGAAAGGCTTTTGTTGATCTGATTTTTATTTTACATTGGAATCTGATAATATTAATTTTATGTGTTATTCTCCCCACGAAGGGGACAGGAAGCCGGCGGCTAGCGAAAGTTCTCCCTAGTGTTCTTGAGAAGTTTTTCTATCTGGATTGTAAACTGACATAATGTCTTAGCATTTACAGCTTCGATGGGTAACCCGTCCCATGGGCTTTTAACCTTTGGGCGAAAAAAGACCTTATGTTTTCTGTTATACACTGTAGCTTGTTGAGGCATAATCTGTTTCCCCTTGTATGCGTTAAATGTGATCTTTTAAATAAGAAGTCTGGATTAATATCCTCCAACTTGTTCAGGTTGAGCCCTGTCATGTCTGATTTACAATGTTGTTAGTTCTGGTATGAAACTTGACATATTTCCGGGAGAACTTTATGTTGTGATGTTGAGTGTTCTTCAAAGCAGATTTATCCTGTTGTAGGCCGAGGCCTGGTCGACGACCGGGCCGCGGGGACACTAAGCCCCGGAAGCACCTCAAGGTAGCCTCAAGGTAGGTGAAGCCTCCATGTATAGAGTTCTCGAAATGGGTCGCAACAGAGACTTGTACATTTGAATAACCACTTTCATTTCCTTGAATTCAATGGATCGTATATATTGGCAGTGATGTTTACTCTCGATGTATTATATCTGCCTCTGTTATGAGAAGCTTTCCAGTAATATTTTAGACTTTTTTATGAAATAGTTATTGACTCATAAAGTTTAAACATGTTGAATAGACGTGAGGATTTCTTACTATTAATTTACTAGTAAAGATATTATTGCAGCTAACGTTATTGTAGGAACCATTTCGTCTTGGGTTACTGACGTGCCTCCTACTGCTGGTAGAGTGCTGCTACTGGTGGGTTCCTTCCACAGTAACGACATTGTTCCACTACCCCTATTACTGCTAAAGGAACCGTTGCTATTGCGGTTGCTTAATTCAGATTTAATTGTAACTTAACATATGGATGTTACTGTAACTGAACATATCGTTGTTATCACCGCGCCTGAAGAGACAATTATTATCGTTGTTGGATATCGTTGTAATTGCTGTTGTCGAGCAACGTATTAGAACTGTTCAAAAGTACTGTTTTTTGCTGATGGGATCACTGTAACTACTGCTGTTGATAAGGTAACTGTAACTACTGCTGTTGATAAGGTAACTGTAACTACTGCTGTTGATAAGGTAACTGTAACTACTGCTGTTGATAAGGTAACTAACTACTGCTGTTGATAAGGTAACTGTAACTACTGCTGTTGATAAGGTAACTGTAACTACTACTGTTCATGGGACCCCTGTAACTACTGTTGCTGATTAGCAACATTGGTTACATTAGCCAATGAGACCACTGTAACTAGTGTTGCTGATGGAAATGTTATCGAAGTAGTTTCTATTGGTATCGGAGCAGTTTTTGCCGAATTACGTTACATTGGACTTAATTTAAGTAGTTTGTACCTTTATCGAAAGTGTCATTGTTAGAGGAGGAAATTAAGGAGCATAATTATTTATGAAACAGGACACAAATGTTTAAAGATGTACCAGAATGGATAATAGAATGATAATGAATGATAATGATAATGAATGATAATGATAATGAATGATAATGAATGATAATGAATGATAATGATAATGAATGATAATAATAATGAATGGATTTAAAGATGTAGCCAGAATGGATAATACTGCCGGTGAAGAAATTCCGAATGTTGCGTGAGGACCAACAGTCTCGCACACACTAACACGCTCCTACACTCATGGTGTGCATGTTAACTCCTAATTAAAGGTTAATGAACTGAGAATTCGACGGAGGAGATTACCGGGGAATTAATTAATTTAGAGAGTAGTAGGAACCAGGAATATGGAAGTGCAAGATTAGAGTAAGTGAGTGATTTGGGGAAATCTTCTTTGCAAAACATTTATCTCTTCTCTTTATTTCCCTCCCTCTCTTTATTTTTTTTTTACAAGAGACTGGACTTTATTAGGAATGGTGATGATGTTCTAAATGAAACGGCTAGCTAAGAGCTGTTATTCCACATCATTTCATCTGAATTTTAGTCTGAACCTTCAAGCTCATTTAGTTTGAGCATTTTACTAGTTATCATAAAATATTATTCTTGATGGAAAGTCCCAATAATTTTAGGTGTTGAATGAAGCTGGAGGTAGATGTGTACCAGAGCACTTATATGGTCGGTTTACTGGAGGTAGGTGTGTACCAGAACACTCATATAGTCGGTTTACTGGAGGTCGGTGTGTACCAGAGCACTCATATGGTCGGTTTACTGGAGGTAGATGTGTACCAGAGCACTCATATGGTCGGTTTACTGGAGGTAGATGTGTACCAGAACACTCATATGGTCGGTTTACTGGAGGTAGGTGTGTACCAGAGCACTCATATGGTCGGTTTACTGGAGGTAGATGTGTACCAGAGCACTCATATGGTCGGTTTACTGGAGGTAGGTGTGTACCAGAGCACTCATATGGTCGGTTTACTGGAGGTAGGTGTGTACCAGAGCACTCATATGGTCGGTTTACTGGAGGTAGGTGTGTACCAGAGCACTCATATGGTCGGTTTACTGGAGGTAGGTGTGTACCAGAGCACTTATATGGTCGGTTTACTGGAGGTAGATGTGTACCAGAGCACTCATATGGAGGGTTTACTGGAGGTAGATGTGTACCAGAGCACTCATATGGTCGGTTTACTGGAGGTAGACGTGTACCAGAACACTCATATGGAGGGTTTACTTGTTATCTTCATGTTGAGCGAACTTTTTGAAGTTGTGAATCGGCCTAGGAATGAAATCTCTTGATGGGGTAATATCCATTAGAATGGCACGGCCAGCCTTAGCCTGTTTGTTGATGAGCGCCCTGTGTTGTAACTGCCATCGTCTAGTTGTCCATGGAGTTGGGCCAAGAACCTCAAGAACATTGGCGGTGTATATAACATTAACGTGGCCATATCCCTGGTGTTAAGGCTCAGGTCCACTGACTAGTGCCGCCGAAATGGACCAAAACTAGAAAGAAGTCTTCTCACAAAGCTCTTTGTCCATTAGTCGGATAAATAATAGGCGGGCCATCCGGGTGAGCGGTAGATAGTGACAGCCACTGTTGCTGAGAAAGTCCCACCCTGGAAACACAAACCGAAACTGTCTTTATTTTCCGCTTGTTACAACTTGTAATAAAGTTGTTACATCTTGGCTTAACGTGTTTATGACGTATTAGAACGTTGTTAGAACTTGATATATTGGTTGTTATAACTGGTTAGGAGGTGTTAAAACTTGTTCGAACGTTGTAGCAACGTCGTAGTTTCGGTGTGTGTTTGGCGGGATATAGATGCTCTTTACTATTGTAAGTGTCTTGGTTGTCTTGCTTGCTAGGTTCAACACCTGGCTCTTCGTGATCATTAAACAGGCAGACTTTATAATGCAATATAATGCAAACTAGTAACATCATAGCCTGTCTTTTTCAGTTGCAAATATGTGTTGCATACGCCTTCCCAATAATGGATTTATCTGTTCCATCGATTATACCATCCATCTAACCTCCTTAATTCCCTCCACCTCCAGCCTTCACCATCCCCCCCCCCCAGAACCTCCAGCATCCACCATCCCCCCCCCCCAGCACCTCTAGCCTCCTCCATTCCCAGCACCTCCAGCCTCCTCCATCCCCCCCCAGCACCTCCAGCCTCCTCCATCCCCCCCCCCCAGCACCTCCAGCCTCCTCCATCCCCAGCACCTCCAGCCTCCTCCATCCCCCCCCCCAGCACCTCCACCATCCCCCCAGCACCTCCAGCCTCCACCATCCCCCCCCCAGCACGTCCAGCCTCCACCATCCCCCCCCCCCAGCACCTCCAGCCTCCACCCCCCCCCCCAGCACCTCCAGCCTCCACCATCAACCGTTTCCATTAACCATCAACCAGTCCCTTATATTCATTATTATTTATGTTACCTCCATCAATCTCTACGTGTTCTTTCTCCGTCATATCTCTGCTCTCTCTTCCCCACCATCAACCGTTTTCTCTCCTGTCTCCCACATCCATTCTTTCTTTTCCTTACCTTCCTTAGCCAACCTTCCCTCTAGTTCCATCCTCCCCTCCCTCCTCCACCACTCCCACTCTCTCCTAACACCACCCTTTCCATTCTCACCTTCCTCCACCTCTGCCTCTCTCCCTCCACCTCTGCCTCTCTCCCTCCACCTCTGCCTCTCTCCCTCCACCTCTGCCCCTCACCCTCCTACCCACCAGTCTTCCCTCTTCACACCTTCACCTGGCTAAGCGGGTCGCCTCTCACGGCACGAGTCCAGCTTATTTTCTTTTTCGCACCTTCTTGAAAACCTTTTTTTCCGACAAATACCTCGTTAGCCCTGTAGTGCTTGTGCCTTGGTGCTGGTGCCTGGGTGCTGGTGCCTGGGTGCTGGTGCCTCGGTGCTGGTGCCTAGGTGCTGGTGCCTGGGTGCTGGTGCCTGGGTGCTGGTGTCTGGGTGCTGGTGTCTGGGTGCTGGTGCCTGGGTGCTGGTGCCTGGCTGCTGGTGTCTGGGTGCTGGTGCCTGGGTGCTGGTGCCTGGCTGCTGGTGCATCGGTGCTGGTGCCTGGGTGCTGGTGCCTGGGTGCTGGTGCCTGGCTGCTGGTGCCTCGGTGCTGGTGCCTGGGTGCTGGTGCCTGGGTGCTGGTGCCTCGGTGCTGGTGCCTCGGTGCTGGTGCCTAGGTGCTGGTGCCTGGGTGCTAGTGCCTCGGTGCTGGTGCCTCGGTGCTGGTGCCTGGGTGCTGGTGCCTCGGTGCTGGTGCCTCGGTGCTGGTGCCTAGGTGCTGGTGCCTGGGTGCTGGTGCCTCGGTGCTGGTGCTTCGGTGCTGGTGCCTCGGTACTGGTGCCTAGGTGCTGGTGCCTGGGTGCTGGTGCCTCGGTGCTGGTGCCTCGGTGCTGGTGCCTGGGTGCTGGTGCCTGGGTGCTGGTGTCTCGGTGCTGGTGCCTGGGTGCTGGTGCCTGGGTGCTGGTGCCTCGGTGCTGGTGCCTGGGTGCTGGTGCCTGGGTGCTGGTGCCTAGGTGCTGGTGCCTGGGTGCTGGTGCCTCGGTGCTGGTGCCTGGGTGCTGGTGCCTGGGTGCTGGTGCCTCGGTGCTGGTGCCTGGGTGCTGGTGCCTGGGTGCTGGTGCCTCGGTGCTGGTGCCTGGCTGCTGGTGCCTGGGTGCTGGTGCCTCGGTGCTGGTGCCTGGGTGCTGGTGTCTCGGTGCTGGTGCCTGGGGGCTGGTGCCTGGGTGCTGGTGTCTCGGTGCTGGTGCCTGGGTGCTGGTGCCTGGGTGCTGGTGCCTGGGTGCTGGTGCCTCGGTGCTGGTGCCTCGGTGCTGGTGCCTAGGTGCTGGTGCCTGGGTGCTGGTGTCTGGGTGCTGGTGTCTGGGTGCTGGTGCCTGGCTGCTGGTGCCTCGGTGCTGGTGCCTGGCTGCTGGTGCCTCGGTGCTGGTGTCTGGGTGCTGGTGCCTGGCTGCTGGTGTCTGGGTCTGGTGAGTGCCTGCTGGGTCTGGTGAGTGCCTGCTGGGTCTGGTGAGTGCCTGCTGGGTCTGGTGAGTGCCTGCTGGGTCTGGTGAGTGCCTGCTGGGTCTGGTGAGTGTCTGCTGGGTCTGGTGAGTGCCTGCTGGGTCTGGTGAGTGCCTGCTGGGTCTGGTGAGTGCCTGCTGGGTCTGGTGAGTGCCTGCTGGGTCTGGTGAGTGCCTGCTGGGTCTGGTGAGTGTCTGCTGGGTCTGGTTAGTGCCTGCTGGGTCTGGTGAGTGCCTGCTGGGTCTGGTGAGTGCCTGCTGGGTCTGGTGAGTGCCTGCTGGGTCTGGTGAGTGTCTGCTGGGTCTGGTGAGTGCCTGCTGGGTCTGGTGAGTGCCTGCTGGGTCTGGTGAGTGCCTGCTGGGTCTGGTGAGTGTCTGCTGGGTCTGGTGAGTGCCTGCTGGGTCTGGTGAGTGTCTGCTGGGTCTGGTGAGTGCCTGCTGGGTCTGGTGAGTGCCTGCTGGGTCTGGTGAGTGCCTGCTGGGTCTGGTGAGTGCCTGCTGGGTCTGGTGAGTGTCTGCTGGGTCTGGTGAGTGTCTGCTGGGTCTGGTGAGTGTCTGCTGGGTCTGGTGAGTGCCTGCTGGATCTGGTGAGTGTCTGCTGGGTCTGGTGAGTGTCTGCTGGGTCTGGTGAGTGCCTGCTGGGTCTGGTGAGTGCCTGCTGGGTCTGGTGAGTGCCTGCTGGGTCTGGTGAGTGCCTGCTGGGTCTGGTGAGTGCCTGCTGGGTCTGGTGAGTGTCTGCCGGGTCTGGTGAGTGCCTGCTTGGTCTGGTGAGTGCCTGCTGGGTCTGGTGAGTGTCTGCTGGGTCTGGTGAGTGCCTGCTGGGTCTAGTGAGTGCCTGCTGGGTCTGGTGAGTGCCTGCTGGGTCTGGTGAGTGCCTGCTGGGTCTGGTGAGTGCCTGCTGGATCGGGTGATTTCTCTTCTCCTAATGTTAACTAGTCGGTCATTATATCTAAGGATAGGTTCATCACATTCGTTCTTTCAAAAAACTGTCGCATTTTGCCTGTCTCTCCTCTTCCTCCTCCTCCTCCTTGCTTTCCCTGTTCCTCAGTCTCCTTCTCTTCCTCATATTCCTCTTGTTAGTCAATCATCTCCACATTTTTCGAGCTTTCACGTTTTTTTTCAATCTTGTTCCTCCTTTTTGAACTCACGGCTTGCTAATCTTTTCTTCTCCCAAGCCTCTATCCCAAACTGTCTCTATATTCCAGCTTCCTTTGCCCCTTCCACTTCTCTTTTCCCTATCGGGTCCCGCGCCTCTATCTTCCACCTCCTCTCTCTGTTATCTCACATTAATATTCTCGCTGCATCCGGGGCCACTAAGTGTGCCGACCCCGGGCACCGCCAGGACCTGCGGGCTCCCTCACACTTTTCCTGCGGCTGTAGACAAATGGAGGCGGCGTGCCCCCCTTGAGTCGGGGGCCGGGCGGCGTGCCCCCCCCCCTTGAGTCGGGGGCCGGGCGGCGTGCCCCCCCCCCTGAGTCGGGGGCCGGGCGGCGTGGCCCCCCCCCCTGAGTCGGGGCCGGGCGGCGTGGCCCCCCCCCCTGAGTCAGGGGCCGGGCGGCGTGCCCCCCCCCCCTTGAGTCAGGGGCCGGGCGGCGTGCCCCCCCCCCCCTGAGTCAGGGGCCGGGCGGCGTGCCCCCCCCCCCCTTGAGTCGGGGGCCGGGCGGCGTGCCCCCCCCCCCTGAGTCAGGGGCCGGGCGGCGTGCCCCCCCCCCCTGAGTCAGGGGCCGGGCGGCGTGCCCCCCCCCCCCTTGAGTCGGGGGCCGGGCGGCGTGCCCCCCCCCCCCTGAGTCAGGGGCCGGGCGGCGTGCCCCCCTGAGTCAGGGGCCGAGCGGCGTGCCCCCCCCCCTGAGTCGGGGGCCGGGCGGCGTGCCCCCCCCCCCCCCTGAGTCGGGGGCCGGGCGGCGACCAGTAGGAGTCTTCCAGGCACTCTCTTGGGCCCTCCAGGATGATGGGGAGGGTAAAGAATAGCAGATATAGTAGGATGGGGAGGAGAGGCAGGAGGTATAGTAGGATGGGGAGGAGAGGCAGGAGGTATAGTAGGATGGGGAGGAGAGGCAGGAGGTATAGTAGGATGGGGAGGAGAGGCAGGAGGTATAGTAGGATGGGGAGGAGAGGCAGGAGGTATAGTAGGATGGGGAGGAGAGGCAGGAGGTATAGTAGGATGGGGAGGAGAGGCAGGAGGTATAGTAGGATGGGGAGGAGAGGCAGGAGGTATAGTAGGATGGTGAGGAGAGGCAGGAGGTATAGTAGGATGGGGAGGAGAGGCAGGAGGTATAGTAGGATGGGGAGGAGAGGCAGGAGGTATAGTAGGATGGGGAGGAGAGGCAGGAGGTATAGTAGGATGAAGGAGGAAAAACAGGAGGGATAGTAGGATAAAGAGGAGAAGGAGGAAGCAGGATATTCCAAATGTGCCTCCTATTTCCTACTCGGCTGTTGTATTATTCACTCTCTACTCGGCTGTTGTATTTCCTTATGACATCATGGCTGTTGTATTTGCTATTCCCTACACGTTCGTTGTATTTGAATCTCCCCAAAAGACTTTTATTTCCCTCTCTCTTCACGACTTTTGAAATTCCTTGTCCCATCTCGACTGTTATATTTCCCTCTATTGACACAGAGGTTTACCTCCCTCTCCTGACATCGATGGTTTACCTCCCTCTCCTGACATAGATGGTTTACCTCCCTCTCCTGACATAGATGGTTTACCTCCCTCTCCTGACATAGATGGTTTACCTCCCTCTCCTGACATAGATGGTTTACCTCCCTCTCCTGACATAGATGGTTTACCTCCCTCTCCTGACATAGATGGTTTACCTCCCTCTCCTGACATCGATGGTTTACCTCCCTCTCCTGACATCGATGGTTTACCTCCCTCTCCTGACATCGATGGTTTACCTCCCTCTCTTGGCATAGATGGTTTACCTCCCTCTCCTGGCATAGATGGTTTACCTCCCTCTCCTGACATAGATGGTTTACCTCCCTCTCCTGGCATAGATGGTTTACCTCCCTCTCCTGACATAGATGGTTTACCTCCCTCTCCTGACATAGATGGTTTACCTCCCTCTCCTGATATAGATGGTTTACCTCCCTCTCCTGACATAGATGGTTTACCTCCCTCTCCTGACATAGATGGTTTACCTCCCTCTCCTGACATAAATGGTTTACCTCCCTCTCCTGACATAGATGGTTTACCTCCCTCTCCTGACATAGAGGTTGGATTTTCCCCCATTTTAATGTATTTTTTCTCTTCTTATTCTGCTGTTCTATTGCTCTCTTCTTCCTTTGGTAACGTCTCTTTCTGGTTCCTGTCCCATTACCTTCCTCGTGACACAGTCTCGCGTCTCCTCGTCTTCTCCTGTGACAACAGTCTGTTTTCTTTCTTTCTAATTATTGTTGATAATTGTCTCACAGACATTGATGTCGTTCCTTATCCCCTCCCCCTCGTGTTTCCCCAAGCTGTTCCTACTCGCTTGTGGCATACCATCTCTATTATGCCACACTCTCCTGTTGTTGTTCTTTCTACCATAACCCGTTGTCCCCTTACCCCTCCATCACCTGCCGTGCCTCCCTCTCCACCTGCCGTGACCCCCCCCACTCCACCTGCCGTGACCCCCCCACTCCACCTGCCGTGCCCCCCCTCCCTCCACCTGCCGTGCCCCCCCTCCCTCCACCTGCCGTGCCCCCCTCCCTCCTCCACCTGCCGTGCCCCCCCCACTCCACCTGCCGTGCCCCCCACTCCACTTGCCGTGCCTCCCTCCCTCCACTTGCCGTGCCTCCCTCCCTCCACCTGCCGTGCCCCCCTCCCTCCACCTGCCGTGCCCCCCTCCCTCCTCCACCTGCCGTGCCCCCCCCCCCCCCACTCCACCTGCCGTGCCCCCCACTCCACCCGCCGTGCCTCCCTCCCTCCACCTGCCGTGCCTCCCTCCACCTGCCGTGCCTGCCTCCCTCCTCCACCTGCCGTGACCCCCCCACTCCACCTGCCGTGCCTCCCTCCCTCCACCTGCCGTGCCTCCCTCCCTCCACCTGCCGTGCCTCCCTCCACCTGCCGTGCCCCCCCTCCCTCCACCTACCGTGCCCCCCCTCCCTCCACCTGCCGTGCCCCCTCCATCCACCAACCGTGCCCCCCCCCTTCACCTGCCGTGCCTCCCTCCCTCCACCTGCCGTGCCCCCCTCCCTCCACCTGCCGTGCCTCCCTCCCTCCACCTGCCGTGCCTCCTTCCCCTCCACCTGCCGTGCCTCCTTCCCCTCCACCTGCCGTGCCTCCCTCCCTCCACCTGCCGTGCCTCCTTCCCCTCCACCTGCCGTGCCTCCTTCCCCTCCACCTGCCGTGCCTCCCCTCCACCTGCCGTGCCTCCCTCCACCCCTACTCCTCCACCTGCGCCACACTCCCATCATTACCACAGGTATTGTGTTCTCTGACCTAACTCGTGCCTCGCCACCAAGAGGAAGTACAGTGACTAACGAGGTCCAGGGTAATTATGATAACAAACGCCCCGGCTTAGACCTCCAACAGCAAGCACCTCTTGCGGGTAATTACAGTTGAACACGAACCGCTTTCACTTGCTCGCTGCTCGTCTGCCTCAAGTCCTTCTACAAGTACTCGAGGGGTCATAAAGCTACTTTTACCATATTGAATCATGTGTTTCATTACATATCTGGTACATAAAGTACATTGTATGCGGAAACCCCAGTCATGTGGGAAAGGAGTTAAAACGTTTTCGGCGAGTCGAGCCTTCTTCAGTAACTATACTTAACTAGTTTCTAGTTGACTACGACTAGACGTTTTAATTCCTTTCCCATTTCAGTGTGGTTTTCCGCACACCTGTGATCAGTGTTTTGTGATAGTTGCAAAGATCATTGTAGGTTTAATATCTTATCGTGCTCGAGGTAGTTGGGGGCAGAGTATAGATGAACAGACACTTTGAACTGATGATAAACCTGAATGATTAACAAGGGATCCATCCGAACAACCCCGCGTAAATCTTATTTACGCCGAACTTAATTAAGTATGAATTAATAAATACCGTAACCAGTGGTGTGCTTATTCTTCACCACCTCTGTGCCAGTGTTGTATGTCGGACTACTGGATACAATCTGGCTGCACAGAGTACCATTTTGGAGTACGGTTACATAATATTTACACTGCATGCTATATATATTGCATAATGCAGTAGTATAATCATACTGCTGCTCATCACTACCATCAGTTTATCTGTCTTAGATACTGCGGACCCTCTGGAAGGTCGTTTCCTTACATCAAACACGACTGGTGAAATCCAGAGCCCTGGACTCTGCTGGTGACATCTAACCACCCTGAGGTCTTCCCCTCACAGTAACTCCAAGTTATTGGTTAGAGACTTCCTTATCCACTGGAGCACCTTGCCGGTTATTCATGTCTGTTTCTACAAATTTTGTGTGTAAGTGTCTTTGAGATTTTGCGTGTACGCGCCTATTTGTGCCTGCAGGATCGAGCACTGGCTCTTGGATCGCACCTTTTAACAGCCGGTTGTTTGAACAATGACAATTTTCCTATTTCCCTATCATATCTAATTTGGAAATTATGGATAGTTTACTTGTACAACCTGCTTCTTTAGTTCATTCATTTTTCCCACTATTCTTAAGCTAAATTAAAATGTTGTAACATCTCTTAGCCATCCGAATTTCCAACTTCCACCCATGCCCCGTTGTTCTGTTTGTGAATATTCATATATTTCCACTCTGTCAATCCCCCTGAATATTGTATACGGCACTATCATGTCTCTCCGCTTTCTCCTCTTTTTCTTGCGTCGTCAGGTTCAGCTCTCTGTCACTTTTCATAACCCATTCCTCGCAGTTCTGGGACGAGACTCGTCCCAAACTTCTGGACTTTTTCATATTTCCTTATGTGTTTCTTCAGGTAGTGGCTCCATGGAAAGAGAGGGGGAGGGGGGGGGACATACTATAAGACTAGTCTCAAGTTGGCAGAGTAAAGTGCTCTAAATGCCTCCTTACTTATGTTTCTAAATTATGTTCGAACTTTTGCTAGCGAAGAGTACGCTGTTGTCGTTTTCCTATTTGCATGTACCTAAAGAGTTAGATTCGGTGTAACGTCCACTCTCAGGTCTCTTTCGAATCGTCACTAGTTGGTAGTTTTCCTTAATTTTATACTGTCCCTTTGGTCTACTGTCATCTAGTCCCATTTCCATAATTTTACACTTGTTTGTATTGAACTCCAGTAGCCATATCTCTTATCATCTCTGCAACCTTTTAAAGTCCTCTTGGAGAATCGTACAATCCTCATCTGTCACAACTCGTCTCAATAATTTCCCGTCATCGGCAAACATCAACATTTATGACTCAACTCCTGAATATATGTCGTTTACGTATATTAAAAACAGAACTAGTCCTAGCACCGAGCCTTGAGGTTCTCCAGTTGTTATTGTTCGCCAGTTCGACTTTTCACCCCGAACTGTTACTCTCTAGGTCCTTTCTGTAAGGTAGTTCCTTACCCATGCAGTGGTTTTTTCTGCTTATTCCCGCCTGCCTCACAAGTTTGAACAGCAATCTCCTGTGCAGTGCTGTATCAAAGGCTTTTTGACCTCCCTGAAAAATGCAGTCTGTCTATTCTTCCCTGGCCTGCTTTATTCTTGTTACTTTATAATAGAATTCCAAAAGTTTTCTTAGGCATGATTTTCTTTCTCTGAACGCATGTTGGCGTTTGTTTACATACCTAATTTTCTCTAAGTGTCTTAACCTGATTTTTCTTTCCAGTACCATGCAGGGGATGCTTGTCAGTGATACTGGTTTGTAGTTGAGTGGCTTTTCTGTATCTCCTTTCTTGAAAAATGGTATCACATTTGCCGTCCTCCAGCAACTCGTCAACTCTCCCTTCCTAAGTGATTCATTAAAAATCCTTTCTAGAGACAAGCTTCGGGCCTGCTCTGAATCTTTTAGTAACCACGGTGATATGTTGTCTGGTTCAACTGCTTTAGTTTCACCTAGTGTTGTTAACTTTCATTACCTTCTTTGCTGTCACCTCTACATCTGAGGTGTGTCTCATCTAGGATCATCTCCTCTTCACCAGTTCGGTTGTGAACACAATGAAAACTGGCATTCATTGGTTAGCTCGCAGATTTCCTTATCGCTCTCTGTCTATGCCTCTCTTATTTTCCATGGTCTTTTCACTTAATCGGTCTACCTACCTTGTGTCCACAAGTGGTTGGGCATCATTCCTTTCCCCCGTCCCATCCCAAATCCTTATCTTGACCCCTTCCCAGTGCTATATAGTCGTGATGGCTTGGCGCTTTCTCCTGATCCCTACAGGAGATAGAGACCGCTGATCCCCGGAAGGGAAGGGGATCAGCGGTCTCGAGGCCCAGTCTCCGACCAGGCCTTCTGGTTGGTCGTTTGGTCAACCAGGCTATTAGACGCAGCTACTCTCAGCCTGACGTATGAATCATAGCCTGGTTGATCAGGTATTAGGATAAGTACCATTGATCCTAATACTAACATTTTCCTTCTTATATATCTAGTAGTAATTAGGTGGTTTTTACTTTTGATAGTAATATCGTTCTTGTAATTTCTTTCCGAAACTCTCCTTATATTTTTATATTCATTCCTGGCTCTGTTGCATCTATTACTGTTGCCCCTCTGTCCTCTGTAATTCTTCCACTCTCTCCTGCTTCTCATTCTCATGGGTTATTGTATTCCCTCCTCCTTTTTTTTATACCATACTGTTGGTATGAAAATTTCTTCGGCGTACTTGCATTTCCATTTGACGAGGTCTATCATGTCTCGCACGGTTTAAATTCTTCCTCCCACTGTACAACTGCTTTTATTCCTTTATCCTCCTACAAGTATGGTGTTGCCACTCCAAGTATGGTGTTGCCACTCCAAGTATGGTGTTGCCACTCCAAGTATGGTGTTGCCACTCCAAGTATGGTGTTGCCACTCCAAGTATGGTGTTGCCACTCCAAGTATGGTGTTGCCACTCCAAGTATGGTGTTGCCACTCCAAGTATGGTGTTGCCACTCCAAGTATGGTGTTGCCACTCCAAGTATGGTGTTGCCACTCCAAGTATGGTGTTGCCACTCCAAGTATGGTGTTGCCACTCCAAGTATAGTGTTGCCACTCGTACTTGCTTTTTCTTCTGACTGATCTAAAGTTATATGATTTTAAAATTATATGTTGAGCATTGAGTTAATGTAAATCTTGGGACCAATTACTATGTTTAGTCCTTATAATACTTAA